TAGATTAAATTTTAATGAGGTGGCGTATGGAGAATAAAAGTAAAGCAGATCATGGCAGAGAAAATTAGAGCAGAGGATCCGGATCCGATTGGATGATCGGTGTCAAGGTGAGAAGCAAAAACTTTCCAAAATTTATTTTACATTCGCATAATCTTCCTAAAATTTTACTCTGAAAGGAAACAAAAGATTGTGGAATTAATAAATAGTGAAAAGCCAAATTCTCGAGCGCTCTTTTTCTTGTCTGGCTACCCTAACTCTCTTCACACGCTACGCTACCACCAAAACAAACGGGAAACCGCAACCTGGCTACCCATCTTTCAAGTTATAAAAAGTCTTAAAACAATGATTCATATTGATCTGCATGATCAAGAAAGAATCGACATTAGGTGCGTGTTAAAATAATAAATATTAAGAAAGAATTTATATGGGCTAAGTTGTATGGCGCATGCACTTAATTTTTATTGAAAGAACCTTCTTCTCTTTTAATCTCACATTTTACAATCTCATCTCTATGTGAAGCCTGAACCCTAATAAATCCAAAGCTCTGCAGGCAGGCATTCCTCTCTTTCCAACAGACGCAGCCATGGATCTTGTCTCATCTTTGGAGTGCCAGAAATCGGATGCCCAGTCGGTGGGGCTGGATAAGGACCGCTGCCAAAAGGACCTTTTCTGGCCAGATATCCCCTGCATAAGCGATTTATCAATCCGTGGCAATTCGATTGTCATCAATAAGAAGGGTGGCGGAAAGGTCCCTTGCCCGCCAGAGATGGTCCCCCTTGATCGCGATACGTCTCCACTTTTGAAACCCGGCTGCCCAGTCGGTATGCTTTTTCTTTTTCCTGTAATTTAATTGTTTGTGATGAAGATTATTTGCAATTTAATTACTTTAAACATTCTCTTTTTATATTGAAAATATTTACTTTGTGGTGCATGTATAGAATTTCGTCTTGTACAATATCCTAGTTTTATTTGATATGGAAATACTTTTAAAGACTAATTAGTTCTACAATTAGTTTTGAGTTTGTTGAGCATTTGGGTGTATTTTTCAACAAAGTTTGTGTTGCACGTTTTTATTTTTGGGACGTAATTGAAGAAGATGGTGTGGCATGCCTTTGCTAATTGATCAAATTAAGCTATACTTGAAGACGAATGGTTGTTGGTAGACGAATGGTTAATACTTGAAGATGGTGTGCTTTTTATGTTTGAATGAGAGAATAGAACCAAAGGCCGCTGTGCTCACACTTATTCTCCTCTCTTATGCCTTAGTGCTCCTGTTATGGTATTGATTTTCCATTTTAGGGGTTTGAGAGGAAGATTATCTAGAATTTGCTTGGACTCTGTGTATTTTGCAAAAAAGAAAGTGTTTTTATTTTTGTTTTGTTGGTGTAATTATGTCAAAAATTTGAATCCAGTCAAGTTAATTTGGTGTGTGCATATTAGATAACTGATATTTGATATTATATTTATTTGTTTATGGATCATAGATCTCATTTGTTCTAACTGCATTGACATCATCATCCTTTTTTTTTCTCTGCAATTAACAATGTAATTGCAAACAGGGAACAAAGGTGAAGAACCTGTTGAAGAAAAATGTGAACCTCCCAAGTCAAACCTCAGGGTGCCTACGTATCCCTTACGTGAATCAAAACCAAAGGCTGATCCTGATAGCACCTACATTCCTTTCATCCAGCTCCCTCGTCCTATTGGTATGCCTTTGATTTTAGAGAGAAAAAAAAATACAAATTTATATAGCACCTCCT